GACATAAGAGTAGAATAAAGATCTTCCAAACACATAACACCTCAAAAAATGTATTCCCCATGCAGTCTTTTTCAGGAAGCTACTGGAAGAAGTGCTTCATTGAAGAGAGTAAACCAAGAAAGAGCCGGGCGCGGTGGCTCAAGCCTGTAATCCCAGCACTTTGGGAGGCCGAGGCGGGTGGATCACTAGGTCAAGAGATCGAGACCATCCTGGTCAACATGGTGAAACCCCATCTCTACTAAAAATACAAAAAATTAGCTGGGCATGGTGGCGCGTGCCTGTCATCCCAGCTACTCAGGAGGCTGAGGCAGGAGAATTGCCTGAACCCAGGAGGCGGAGGTTGCAGTGAGCTGAGATCATGCCATTGCACTCCAGCCTGAGTAACAAGAGCAAAACTCCGTCCCCCACCCCAAAAAAAGAAAGAAAGACTAAGACATGGGATCTAGGAGGCATGAGAGCTCACTCGGGAGAAGAGTGAAAGGAATTTCCAGGGGAGGGCCAGAGAACGACTAGCCCAGCCTGCAGCAGGAGGACAGGTGAGTCCCAGGGCAAGGGGAAGGTTTCAAAGAAGAAGATAAAATTGCTGGAATTCTCAATATGTTTGCAGAACTTGAGAAGAGATGTACGCTTCTGGCAGAGACCTTGGGGAAGGATAAGCACCATAAATAAAGTGGGTAAATAAAAAATGAGGTCAAAGAAAAGAGTGTAGGAGAGCAAGAGATCACCTCCAGTTCCTCTGTGGGTCTTATGTGTGTTCTTCAGCTGGTTCTAGAAACCAAATTGATACCACGCAGATTAACAAGAGAAAATCATACAAATTCATTAGTTTTGTTTTGTTTTGAGACAGAGTTGCCTTCTAGCACCCAGGCCAGAGTGCAGCGGTGCAATCTGAGCTCACTGCAACCTCCATCTCCTAGGTTCAAGTAATTCTCCTGCCTCAGCCTCCCAAGTAGCTGGGATTACAGGGGTGCATCACCATACTCAGCTAAGTTTTAAATTTTTAGTAGAGATGAGGTTTCACCGTGTTGGCCAGGCTGGTCTCAAACTACAAATCTCAAGTGACCTGCCTTCCTTGGACTCTCAAAGTGCTGGGATTACAGGTGTCAGCCACTGCACCTGGCACAAAGTCATTAGCTTTATACATGATGATCTTCACAAGAGAGTCAAGTCCAAAGAAATGGCCAAAGGAAGATGCTTTTATACTTTTGGGACAAAGAGTGATAAATCTGAGAAGAAAGCACAGGGCAAAGGCGACCTGGCTAGGAGCAATACATTTGGAGGGGTGTCACTAGGAGGTATATGGAAGATAAGGGTGATTTCCATAAGTACCTTTGTCAGGTACATTGCGATTCCCACTCTGAGATGACAGGTCTTTTCTGAGCCTGCTGCAGGGAGAGTGCCCCTCCCAGAGGAATGTCGATGGCTTGCTGCATGCAGGAGAAGACCCATCAGCTTGCCCTTTCTTCAACTCTAAATAATCAAATTACGGCCGGGCGCGGTGGCTCAAGCCTGTAATCCCAGCACTTTGGGAGGCCGAGGCGGGTGGATCACGAGGTCAAGAGATCAAGACCATCCTGGTCAACATGGTGAAACCCCGTCTCTACTAAAAATACTAAAAATTAGCTGGCCATGGTGGCACGTGCCTGTAATCCCAGCTACTCAGGAGGCTGAGGCAGGAGAATTGCCTGAACCCAGGAGGCGGAGGTTGCGGTGAGCCGAGATCGCGCCATTGCACTCCAGCCTGGGCAACAAGAGCGAAACTCCATCTCAAAAAAAAAAAAAAAAAAAAATCAAATTACTGATTTGGTATGTTTTGGGATGGTGTATCATTCACTTCTTCAAGCAACTGTAAAGCACTTAATAGCAAAAAAAAAAAAAAAAAGGGGGGAAGTACAAGAAATTGTCTTCATAGCACAACTCATTATACATGTAAAAATAAATATCAATAGAATCCAAACTTATGATACAACTGTATTAAGAGGATGGGGAAGGAGAATATATGTATATGTTTAAATGTCTTTAGATGATATTCTGGGTAATAATAAACTAAAAACCTCATTTTCATACTACTATAAAGTCATCAGTTTATATCTAAAACCAAAACTTAAAAAAATATAGCACTATACGAGCAGGGTGCAGTGGCTCATGCCTGTAATCCCAGCACTTTGGGAGGCTGAGGTGGGCAGATCACCTGAGGTCAGGAGTTCAAGACTAGCCCGGCTAACATGTTAAAACCCCAGCTCTACTAAAAATGCCAAAAAATATTAGGTAGGCTTGTCAGCTGCACCTGCCCATAATCCCAGCAATCCCAGCACTTTAGGAGGCCAAGGCAGGTAGATCACTTGAGGTCAGGAGTTTGAGACCAGCCTGACCAACATGGTGAAACCCTGTCTCTATTAAAATAAAAAATTAGCCAGGTGTGGTGGCAGGTGCCTGTAATCCCAGCTACTAAGGAGGCTGAGGCAGGAGAAACTTGAACCCAGGAGACAGAGGTTGCAGTGACCTGAGATTGAGCCATTGCACGTCATCCCGGGCAACAGAGCAAGACTCTGTCTAAAAAAAAAAAAAATATATATATATATATATATATATACACATATATATGTATATATACACACACACATGTGTATATATGTATCACTATATGCATTTTATTTTAAAACATGAAGGTAAACACTGAAGGAAGAAAAGGGTTGAAAGATTGTCTGTGGGAGGAGGGAGCAGACAGAAAGCAAGGGTGGTCAGAGGGAGTCCAGGAGACCTCTGGGGTTGTTTTAAACCTGGTAGTACTTACTTTACTTAAAACAACAAATAATTTTTAAATTTTTCTTTTTAAAAGACAGGGTGTCACTCTGTCACTCAGTCTGGAGTGCAGTGGCACAATCACAGCTTACTGCAGCCTCAACCTCCTGGGTCCAAGTGATCCTCCTACCTCAGCCACCTGACCCAATCTCAAAATGAAAATAAAATTTTTTTTAAAATATGAATAAGTGGATGTGATGCTGAAGTAAGCATGTCTATTTAAGTCCTGAAAAGTCCTTAAATTTGAGTTCTTAAATGTCTATTCCCCAAATTCATATGTTGAAATCCTAATCCACAAAGTGGTGATATTAGAAGTGTGGAAAGTAAAAAAGTTCTTCTTGGCCGGGCACGGTGGCTCAGGCCTGTAATCCCAGCACTTTGGGAGGCCAAGGCGGGTGGATCAAAAAAAAAAAAAAAAAATTTGTGGAAGCTTTTGAATTTTGAACAGACAAAAACAGAGCTTCTTTGATTATAAATGATGTAAGGGGGCCTGGCATGTTCATCATGTTTTTTATTTAATTTTTTTTTTTTTTGAGACGGAGTTTCACTCTTGTTACCCAGGCTGGAGTGCAATGACGCGATCTCGGCTCACCGCAACCTCCGCCTCCTGGGTTCAGGCAATTCTCCTGCCTCAGCCTCCTGAGTACCTGGGATTACAGGCACGCGCCACCATGCCCAGCTAATTTTTTGTATTTTTAGTAGAGACGGGGTTTCACCATGTTGACCAGGATGGTCTCAATCTCTTGACCTCGTGATCCACCCACCTCGGCCTCCCAAAGTGCTGGGATTACAGGCGTGAGCCACCGCACCCGTCTTTTATTTAATTTTTAATTTTTTTGAGACAGAGTTTCCTTTGGTGCCCAGGCTGAAGTGCAGTGGCATGATCTCAACTCACTGCAACCTCCCGAGTAGCTGGAGTAGTGTAGGCCACTACACCTGGCTAATTTTCTATTTTTAGTAGAGACAGATGCATTAGTAAATTTTCATGCTGCTACAAAGAACTCTCCAAGACTGGGTAATTTAGGAAAGAAAGAGGTTTAATTGACTCACAGTTCCTCATGGCTGGGAGGCCTCAGGAAAGTCACAATTACTGCAGAAAGCTAAGGGGAAGCAAGGCACCTTCTTCACAGGTCGGCAGGCGAGAGCAGCGCCAAAGGGGGAAGAGCCCCTTATAAACCCATCAGATCTCGTGAGAACTCACTATTACGAGAACAGAATGAGGGAAATTGCCCCCATGATTCAATTACCTCCACCTGGTCTCTCATTTGACATGTGGGGATTGTGGTGATTATGGGGATTATAAGTCAAGATGAGATTTAGGTGAGGACACAAAGCCTAACCAATAAAGCTGGGTTTCGCCATGTTGGCCAGGCTGGTCTTAGACTCCTGACCTCAAGGGATCTGCCCACCTCAGCCTCCCTAACTGCTGGGATTATAGGTATAAGCCACCGTGCCCAGCCTGATGGTCTTATTTAATGTGTACCAAAAGCATGTGCTTTTTGTACATTATGCCATTTAATTACACTGTTCATGGAAAGCTTGCCTCCTCAAGAAGGTGTAAGTTATTTAAAAGCAGGAAAAGTACAATGTATTTGAGGCTTTTTAAAGATTTTACATACATCATCCTATACCCATCTACGTTATGGCAGGGCCCCTCAAATTCTTCTCAAAGATACCTTTTTTCTTCTTTTATAGTACTAAAAGCTATATTTATTTATCACTTTGCTACAGGGCAAGACTTGCTTATTTTGCTAAGTCCCATCAATGGTTTTAGAGAAGAGAAAGTGATTCACTTATAGTCTAATGTATTGTTTCCTATTATTCAGAAGAAGTTTTAGCTAAAGTGGTTTAATTAAATATATATTATTTAATCAAATAGGACTACGTATTAAAGTACATAATAGGCCAGCCTCGGTGGCTCACACCTATAATCCCAACACTTTGGGAGGCCCAGGCAAGAAGATTGCTCGAGGCCAGAAGTTCAAGACTAGCCTGGGCCAACATGAAGAAACCCCATCTCTACTAAAAATATAAAAATTAGCCAGGTATGGTGGCACAGGCCTGTAGTCCCAGCTATTCAGGAGGCTGAGGCACAAGAATCGCTTGAACCTGGGAGGCAAAGGTTGCAGTGAGTTGAGATTGTGCCACTGCACTCCAGCTTGGGCAACAGTGAGACTCTTGTCTTTAAAAAAAAAAAAAAAAAAAAAAAAGCTTTTCCGAGGATCCGGCAAGATGGCGGAGGTAGAGCAGAAGAAGCAGCTGACCTTCCGGAAGTTCACCTACCGCGGCGTGGACCTGGACCAGCTGCTGGACTTGTCCTACGGCGGCGGCTGAACCGGGGCCTTCGGTGGAAGCAGCACTCGCTGCTGAAACGCCTGCGCAAAGCCAAGAAGGAGGCGCCGCCCATGGAGAAGCCGGAAGTGGTGAAGATGCACCTGCGAGACATGATCATCCTGCCCCAGGTGGTGGGCAGCATGGTGGGCGTCTACAACGGCAAGACTTTCAACCAAGTGGAGATCAAGCTGGAGATGATCGGCCACTACCTGGGCGAGTTCTCCATCACCTACAAGGCCGTGAAGCACGGCCGGCCAGGCATCAGGGCCACTCACTCCTCCCGCTTCATCCCCCTCAAGTAGTGGCTCTGCTAATAAAGGCACACAGATCTCCAAAAAAAAAAAAAATCAGAATTCATTTATTTAACTTTCATTCACTAAAAACATAAGGGCCTTCTATGTACCAAGCACTGGATTAGACTTGGGCATTGTTGTAAACAAGGATTATCTTTTTTTTTTTTTTTTTTTTTTTTTTTTTTTTTTTTTTGAGACGGTGTTTCACTCTTGTTACCCAGGCTGGAGTGCAATGGCGCGATCTCGGCTCACCGCAACCTCCGCCTCCCGGGTTCAGGCAATTCTCCTGCCTCAGCCTCCTGAGTAGCTGGGATTACAGGCACGTGCCACCATGCCCAGCTAATTTTTTTGTATTTTTAGTAGAGACGGGGTTTCACCATGTTGACCAGGATGGTCTCGATCTCTCGACCTCGTGATCCACCCGCCTCGGCCTCCCAAAGTGCTGGGATTACAGGCTTGAGCCACCGCGCCTGGCCTACAAGGATTATCTTTAGGCCTCCTAAATAGCAATGCAGAGCAATAATGCAAAAGGTGTCAGAAGTTAGGAGAGGACATATAAAGAACAAAAAAAATAAAAATAAAAATAAAAATAAAAAGAAGTTAGGATAGGACGAAGTGCAATAGTGATAGTTTCTTAGAAAAATCTTTGGAAAATTCTAGGCACAAAGATTGGACTTGTTATCTGCTTACTTAAATGTGGCTCTTGCAGGTTGCAGCAGTCACATACACTCATTTTTTCCATGCAGAGTTGGGCTACTTGTAGTGGAAGGAAGGTGGGCAGTATTTGGGGCCTGGCTGGGGCTACTGACAGCAGGCCGACTGTACCTTTTCTCTGTAAAGCAGGTAAGCAAAATACACAGTAAAGGTGTCCTTGATGGTGCTGGCCCATGACTGGAAGGGCTTACAGAAAGTGTTACCTAAAGCCTTTCTACCCATCGTAACAAGGCCTCTCCAACATGCTGAGGATTCACTCGTCTTACAGCTGTACCTGGAGGGAGTCTGCTGTATTTCCACCCGTTCCCAAAGAATGGGGACAAAGCTGTGGCTCTGCCAGCTAGGCCCAGGAAGTTACAGAGATATATGTCACTAACTTTTCCTCTTCTGAGAGCCAGCTCCTTCCACACACACCCAGCAGGCTGAGCTTCATTGTTTCTTCAGCCTGGGCACTGAGAAATGTTTGTTCATTACCGTACCTGAGCTGCTGCTGCTTTTTTTTTTTTTTTTTTTTTTTTTTGGAGACAGAGTCTCACTCTATCACCAGGCTGGAGTGCAATCATGTGATCTCAGCTTACTGCAACCTCTGCCTCCCAGGTTCAAGCAATTCTTCTGCCTCAGCCTCCGAGTAGCTGGGACTACAGGCATGTGCCACCACACCCAGCTAATTTTTGTAATTTTAGTAGAGACAGGGTTTCACCATGTTGGCCAGGATGGTCTGGATCTCTTAATCTTGTGATCCACCTGCCTTGGCTTCCCAAAGTTCTGGGATTACAGGCAATAATCACTGCACCTGGCCAATACCTGAGCTTCATAGGCTGTTGTCTCTCCTTCCTGAAAATGCATGATGTGTTTTCCTTTCCTCAACCCCTTACTTTCTCGGGGTTTTTGTTTGTTTGTTTTTAGCAACAACTGGGTCTTGCTATGTTGCCCAGTCTGGTCTCAAACTCCTGGGCCCAAGCCATCCTCCCTTCTCAGTCTCCCAAAATGCTAGGATTCCAGGTGTCAACCCTTTTCTAGGATGTCTAGTCCACTCTCTTTTACCCAGGACAAACATACTTCCTCAGGAACTCACCTCCATCCAATTTTCCTGCTCAAGGCTGCCAGTTGTTTCAGACATTACTGGAAAATTGTGCAATTCTAAGCAAAGAGGCTGGAGGTCGGGATTCTGTGCCAATAGTAGAGTCTGGGGTTCCCAGAGGGCTGGAGGCTCTGTCTCAGAGAAGATGGTTGTTATTGTCGCAGCAACTGTTGCTCTAGGACAGCAGTTTCAGAACATGGTCAGAGAACCCCTGAGGTCTCTGAGATCGTCCCTTTTCCTATCACTTATCTGTGTGAGGCCAGATTTCAACCAAAGCATTTCAACCAAAACACATCTCAACAGATTGAATGCAGATGTAGATATGAGAATCCAGCTCTCTTCTATCCAGAGATTTACAAAAAATTAAAATTTTTGTTTTATTTTAATACAATAAATATTGACACAATCCATGTAAAGAAAATGCCCTGGAGTCCTCAACAATTTCTAAAAGTTGTAAGGGGGTTCTGAGATGGGAAAGTTTGTCACTCTAAGCTACTCTTGGCCCCATTTTGTTCTTCCTGCTCTTCCTGAGAGACCTCATAAGACTCATTGCTTCAACTACCACGTCCAAGCTGGTGATTGCTGTGGGCAGTAAGTACATAAGCTTCTATGTACTATTCTGCAAGTGCCTGGGGATAAGGGAAATAAGATTGCTGCTGAGAGCTGAACTGGATAAATCCATATACGGCAGATATGACCCACCATTCACACATTCAACAAATATTTATTGGCCACCTACTCTGTGCCATACACTCTTCTAGACACTGGGCTTACAAAACAGAAAATCTGTGAACATTCTACTGGGGTATATTGAGAGATGATAAAAGAATATAAAGGAGTCTGGGTATGGTGGCTTATGCTTGCATTCCCAGAACTTTGGGAGGCTGAGATGGGAGGATTGCTTGGGGCCAGGTGTATTACACCAGCCTGGGCAATATAGTGAGACCCTGTCTCTACAAAAAATTTAGGAAAAAAGAAAAATAATGTGACAAGGACTGTATGTGTGTATGAGTTGGTGTGTATATGCCTGTATTTTATTCCTTTCCTCCATAAATTATTCCCAATAGCCATTCTGCTAGTAGCCCTCCTGGGAAGTGGTGTTCACAAATTTCATCTTGGTAAGGAGGCAGATATGATGTAAGCCAAGTTTCTTCCAGCCATGGAGGTGGGGTGAGGAGGAGAGCCAGGAGAACAGACCTTAGGATTGGCAGCTCAGGGACAAGACCAGACCAGCATCCTGGCAGCACAGGTTGGCAACCATCCAGAGGAGAAAAACAAGAAAAACATGGGCTATGAGCCACCATGAGGCCACCTAGGCACCACCCTCTAAACACCATCTTAAAACAGGAAAAGAAAAAGGTAGAGAAACAGCTCTAATGGGAAGTTATTAGCTGGAATGAGACTTTAAATCCGAAGAATGACATACGTACTTTTATTGGTGATTTTAAGTTCCATTTCAAACATTTTATTTTCATGTCTGAGATGTACTGTGATAAAATCTCAGTCTAGCTGCATTAACATTTTACTCTTGCTGGGCTGTAGTCTGAAGCCTTGAGGCAGAGAACGCAGGCAAAAATGGCTCAATTAAACCCTTCCTTCTCATTTGATCTAAACCCCAGTGTTACTACCACCCAATGGTCACATGGGAGAAAGAAGACTGAAAAGAAGACCCCAGGAGGCAATGAAAACAGGAGGCAGGTCTTTTCTCCTGAAGGAAACAGTTCCTGTCCTCTTTGTCACTTAGGCTGCCGGGAAGGGAAAAGCAGAATTGGTCACTTATCACTCGAAGCCTGCATTCAAGAAAGAAGAAGGAAATAACGGCTGCTCTTCTTTTGTGGGTGCCAGAAAATTCTGGCCTTCTGATAAGATAAAGACAGAAATAGAATCCCTTTCATGTGGCCCATGAGTGTCCCTGGAATGACTCATCAGATTAGGGCTCCTTCTTGGAGTGGGAATGAAGATAAGGATTAAGGAGGAACCTGGGTGAGCAAACTCACAGCATCCCTAAAAGTTAGGCCTTTTTTTTTTTTTTTTTTTTTTTTTTGACACGGAGTTTCGCCCTTGTTACCCAGGCTGGAGTGCAATGGCGCGATCTCGGCTCACCGCGACCTCCGCCTCCTGGGCTCAGGCAATTCTCCTGCCTCAGCCTCCTGAGTAGCCGGGATTACAGGCACTGTGCCACCATGCCCAGCTAATTTTTTGCGCTTTTAGTAGAGACGGGGTTTCACCATGTTGACCAGGATGGTCTCGATCTCTCGACCTCGTGATCCACCCGCCTCGGCCTCCCAAAGTGCTGGGATTACAGGCTTGAGCCACCGCGCCCGGCGTTAAAGTTAGGCCTTTTACACAGAGAAATTGAGACTCAAGGTAGAGAAAATAAAGTGAAGTTATACACTAGGAGGAAAGCCAGGTTTTGAACCCAGATTTGACTGGTTTCAGAGTATAGCCAATTCTTGCTAAACCCCAAGTCCCCCACTCTCACTCCCCGTCAGAACCTTTTTTTTTCTGAGACAGAGTCTTGCTCTGTCACCTAGTCTGGAGTGCAGTGGTGGGATTACAACTCACTGCAGCCTCAAATTCGCAGGCTCAAGCCATTTCACTTCAGCCTCTTAGGTAGCTGAGACTACAGGTACATGCCACCACACCCACGTAATTTTTGTATTTTTTGTGGAGATGGGGTTTTTCCATATTGCCCAGGCTGGTCTTGAACTCCTGAGCTCAATCCATCTGCCCACCTCAACCTCCCAAAGTACTACAATTATAGGATGCAAGCCACTGCACCCAGCCCAGAACTGGTTTTTTTTTTTTTTTTTTTTTTTTTTTTGAGACGGAGTTTCGCTCTTGTTACCCAGGCTGGAGTGCAATGGCGCGATCTCGGCTCACTGCAACCTCCGCCTCCTGGGTTCAGGCAATTCTCCTGCCTCAGCCTCCTGAGTAGCTGGGATTACAGGCACGTGCCACCATGCCCAGCTAATTTTTTGTATTTTTAGTAGAGACGGGGTTTCACCATGTTGACCAGGATGGTCTCGATCTCTCGACCTTGTGATCCACCCGCCTCGGCCTCCCAAAGTGCTGGGATTACAGGCTTGAGCCACCGCGCCCGGCAGAACTGGTTTTATTTAGTGTAGACAATGTCTTACATCTTGCAGTCTTCTGTCTTTTCCTACCCTGGAATATAAGGTGAAATTCCTTGCCTAGAAGAACCACAGCTATAGCAATTATTCATCCAGCAAATATTTATTGAGCGTGAGGCCTGTCC